CTGACTCAAATCGCATGGCTTCTCTGCCGCTTATCTTTCGTTGAAGGATAATTCTACTTGTACAATCGATGTTGACAACTTCTCACATGTGTGCGGGGTCCGCGTACTTAAAAAATTCAAAAAAAAAGTGAACCCCCCATGTGAGTGGTTGTCAACCTCGATTGTACAATTAGCATGGTCCTTCGTTGAATCAATAATTGTATTATGTGGCAAGATTTATTACTCTGATCTCCCATGGCTAGTAGAAAAAGGTTTTTTTTTTTAACTGTGCATGCTTCTCAAAATCTGTGCAGTTGACTCATAAACATAAAAAAGTCAATTACCAATAATCCGTGCAAAGTTTTTGAATAATCTGTGCAGTTAACTCATAAGCAAATTGCTGTATGTGAATAATTTAAAGAAGCAAATTAGTTGAAAACACACTGCACTCATATTTTTTTTCTAAGAAAAAAAATAGTAATTAGATAAAAGCATTCTTGATGATAGCGTGTTATGAGTTAGAAAGAAAAATGAGAATAAAAGAGAGAAATCAATAGATTTATGTGTATTTATTGAGAACCAAAGCCCCATATTTATAGAGAATGATTATAGGATACAATGTCAACAATTTTTAGGGTTGTAGGGATACAATTGTCATTCATTAATAGACTTACAGTTTACAATGCCATTACAAATTTTATTTGTCCAACCATTTTATAAATACACCTTGACTAAAAATATTTTTGATAAATTATGTTAACAGTATAGCCTAGTCCATTAAAAACAAATAAATGGTACACCTCTCTCTCAAAGTCATGGTGCACTCTGTTAATCCTTTGGGGGTCCCTTCGCACATTGTAAATGGTGCCCACATGGAGGAGAACAACTTCTCGAATATCCGGTCTATGTATAAGATGTGATCGCATTCGATTTACTCAAGTGACGAACCAGGGGGAAAGCCAGAACTCCTCATGATTAGTCGGACAAAACTTGAATACTTTAGTCATAAAAAAGTGGTACACCACTCTCTTTCCCTCTCTCTTAGACACACTTATATTTTCGCACTCATTTTTTATGAAATCCCATTGCCCGAATCCATTTAAAAGTGATTAAAAAAATATATATACGTATTGCTGAGGTAGAGGCCAAGAAAAAAACAATTTTGCTACATGTACACCAAGTTTGATATTATGGTGAGTTGACAATTTCTTATACATTGATTTTGACAACATTTTAAACAATCAACGACATAGATTTTGAGACATCACACAGTGTCAACCTTAATGTACCTTTTTAATGTACAACTAACATAATTGAGAAAAAACACCCAGTAACGGAGATAGAAAGAAAATCTATTTTTTGCATATTTTTCTCTCTCATCGTTTGTTTCCATTTTACAAAACTTTGTTTTCAAACTTGTAATTTACTTTAACTACAAGAATAGTGATAATGATAAATGAAATTGAGTGTTCTCTTTTGAGTTATTCATGAATATGGCTATTGGTAAAAGATGATTTTATTATTGGAATAAAAATTTGAGATTTTACTCTTAATTTCCAGACTTCCACTAATTTTTTATAAATTGATATTTGAGGAAGACTAATTCTTGATTTCTTGGTGAAATGAAAATGCTTAATTTACATCCAGATACATGTAAAAGCCTAAATGGAATTGTCATTAGATTCAAGAACCCATTCTCATTAATAAATGTTAAAATATCGAAATAAACAAATTAATAATATGATTAAAAACAAGAGAAATCCCGATCATATTTAAAAAAATAAGTGAAGTCAAAGAAAGGAAAAAGAGAAGAAAAAGAAGTTTACTGGTGTTAAAGAGGCTTGTGGGCACATGAGAATTAAAGAGATAAGTTACTTGTGTCATTTTGTTTTACGATCAATTTAGTAAATTAGAAAAAAATCTTTAAAAACGTGGTGTAACAAATATAGCCACCCTTATTTTTAACATTTTGGAAAGTATTAAATACCAAAAATATCAGTGATTTGACACAATTGAACAACATAACCACTAGTTTTTATCAAACCCCGAAATACATCCTTCAAGTTTCAATCAAGGGTCCTAATACTTTGGAATCATGCTTCACGTACAGAAGCAATTTCTAGAGAAAACTCACAGAATGCTCACATGAGTGGGCCACGAGCATAATTTTTTTTTAAATACATGGTGGTGTCCACACATCTAGTGAGCGCATATGAAAATAATTTTTGTACATTGGAATAATTGAATAGTTTGACATTGGACTTGGACGAGCTAGCATGGATCGCGTGCCACCTAACTTGGCCAGGTACAGGCCCCATGAATCGAACAATAAAGTTATTTGTACAAAGTTGAGTTACAAAAGTTGGATTACAAAGTGTGTTGACAAAATTCAGATAATTGATTTCAAATTATTTAAAAATCTATTTTTAAAATGATTAGTGTAGATGTAATTTTGTCAACCAATTTTGTAATCCAACTTTGTACATATAGCATAACTCTGAATAGAATGCCGACCTTCTTACACCTCTAACTATAATACAAAAAACATATCAATAAAATGACCTTTCACATTTATTATTTCTGATAATATATTGTTCGAGAAACGTTAATCTTATCAAAATAATTCGTGTTCATCATCTTAATTAATGTGTAGTTGCCAGCTTTAATCACTGAGGTATTAATTCACTGTATCGAAAAGAATAGGGCTAACAACCCTATCAAAGGCTTGTTATATTTAATTTCTGCACTTTCTAAAGTGAATATACAGCGATTACTTTAGGAGTAATAATTTTCACGAATAATTAGGTTATGAAATTGGATAAACAAAAACAAATCGAAGTAGAAAATTAATTATTAGTCACAATACATCAATCAAACATGCACCAAAAGCCATAACCTAAAATATATGTACATACTATCATCATCGTCTTCGTCATCATCTTGCACAACAAGTTATTGATCAAAAACTCCAAAATTAAGTTGCTTATAATTAAAAAGTTGGGACCATGAGGGATTCTATCCCATTTACTGAACGCTTAGCAAATCTCCCTTTGATTCTTGGTCTAGTTTCTGCATAAGCCTTTCTTGATGCATATCTTATTGTCTTCTCAAATTTTCTGTTCTTTCTTTTCTCTCTATACCTCAACACCCTGGCTTCTCTGTCGATGCCGGAAACTGGGTTAGGGATCCAGTCATTTTTCATAAGAGTCGATTCGTCAGCCATCGCACTGGGGTCCGGCACAACTCCAACTTCCAAAGATGACGATGAGACCTGCCATAGTTGTTGCAAGACATATAATTGTTAGCAGAGCATGGGAGTATCTAGTTTTGTTTTGGTTTCTTGAAATTTACCTTTAGAGTGGGTTTTCTAATGAATTAAGCTCCAATCCCTTGTTCTTAGAACACTAATAAATAAAAACAATCCCGAAACGAGCAAATCATATAGACTCACGGTGCTTCATCTTCAACGTAAGAGCTATGTCCACTCGCTGCTGCGGAATTTTAACTATAATAAGAAGGTAATACAAGTTTTTCTCATACATCTCGTGCACCCAAAATCATCTCCCATAGGTCGATAAGTGTACACTAGACTTCACATACTCCAACAGTACTATTGTGTGATACAAAACTCACTCGAGAATCTATTAGTGCCCGATTAAACCTTTGCACGATCCCATTACCTTTTGCGAGGCAACACACCCATAGAACATCGATTTGTAGAAAAAGTGAACATATGAATTATCATGGATCTATGTTCAAAGTTCAAACTAGTTAGCTAAACAGTACTATAATATCAACAAAAATTGTAAAGAATTAATATGGACAGAAATGTGAAAAGCAGACAAATTTAGGTTAAAAAAGCATACACTTTGGCTGATGGATTGGGAGCTGAAATTGTACATGAAGGGCTTGGATCCAGTGTTATAATCCATTTCGTAAGTAGGAAATCCATGCACAACAGGACCCTGAAATGGATTCTGCTGAAAATCATTATTGTTTTGCACAGGCACAACCCCATCTGAACTGTACTGGCAATGCTTTTGATCATTCATACGGTGTTGTTTCTTCTGGTCACCGGAAATTAAATCCAGATCCAGGTATGGATCCATGTCGCTGAACAAATACTCGCCGGACTTGTATTTTGGCGATTCGGAGTCATCATCCTGTTAATGGTAAAATCTCAAGTCTGGTACTTAGCTACTCCTATTTATAAATATGAAAACGATAATTAATAGGCTCAGGCTACTCGTTTTAACAAGATTCAATATATACCTCTATGGTCCCTCCTTTCATATGAGGCGTCGGCAACAGCCAGGAGGCGGCTTCGGCCTCGTCTTCAGAGAAGCACTTGTTCTCGTTACTGTTATTATTCTGCGACGGCTCATAGAAGGGTACGACGGGGAGGCGTTCGTGGCGGCGGGCAAGTGGATTAGCAGAGTGTATATCACGGTCACAAGTGGCGCAAAGCGCCGCCGCGTCGGCCTTGCAAGTGACTATGGCTGGCGCTTGCTCGCACACTTCGCACACCAACACCCGGGCATGCTGGGACGCCACCTTGTTGGCGTTGTGCACCCTGGCGTCGCAGTCGTGGCACAAAAACGCCGTGTCGGCCCGGCAAAAAACACTTGCCTGCGAAGATTTGCAGGAATCACATGGCTTCGCTGTTAAGCTCCAACTCTCACCTCCCATTACTGTTCTTCTCTCTATATCTGTATCTTTGGTTCTCTGAGAGAAATGCAGAGAAAGAAAATGGTGATTCAATTTTTCTTTGGCTTAGCGATAGCGTAATAATGCAATGTACAAAAGTCTATAGGACAAGCTGCCCTAATGGGTAAGGGAGATCTAGAGCATAACGAATAAAAAAGTGACGTGTGGACGAGTCTTAGCCAAGTAAAAATAGGTTTGGATTTTTTTTTTTTAATGGAAATTGGAAATGAATTTATCTCGTTGACCTCATTTCTTAAAAATACATTTCACTCATTTATATCAAACATCTAATTTTTATCCAAACTTATCATTAGCCCCTGTTTGGAATGGATTAGATTTTTCTACAGTAAATCAATTCTTATTTTCAACCAACATTTTTCAATAAAATAATATTTTCCATCACATCAATAATTTTTTCTTCTTTTTCAACCTCACATTTCCCATCATATCACTATTCAAAATCAATTCTTCCCCCAAAAATCTCTCCCAAACAAGCTCTAAATTTGACAATAAAACATTAATCTTCAACAAATTTCAGAGAGAAT